GGGCGGGGGGGCGGGGGGTGCACGGCCGTGCCCCCACGGCAGACTGCTCGGGGGCCGGGCAGGGGATGGACCGGTCGGTCGGTCGCCCCGTTGAGCACGAGGGGCACGGCCTCTGAGTCGGACCGGCCATGCTGGGGGCTGCAAGCAGGAGTGGGACGGGGGAAATCCAGCTCAGACCTGGGTCCCTGCCCTCCGCCTCTGCTCTCCAAGGGGACCCTGGGCAGCACAGGCCTGGTCTGGGCTCCCTAAGTGGCCGTGCGGGGGCTTGGGGTCCCGCTGGCATCCTTGGGCACGCTGGTGCAGGGCAGGGCGGCCGGGGCCGAGGGTCTCCGGGCTGTTCCCGGGTGCTTGTGGCAGCCCCGCAGCGGCAGGGAGCTCACGGCCGCTCCCCCGCAGTGGGACCTGGTGTGCTCGAACCACTGGAAGGTGCCCCTGGAGCAGACCACCTACCTGCTGGGCTGGCTGTGCGGCTGCCTCCTCCTGGGCCTGGCCTGCGACAGGTAACAGCCCAGCCCGTGCTCGCGCCCCTGCCCCTGCCCCTGCCCGGGTGCACCCGCCTGGCCCTCACGGCCCTGCCCGGCCTCCCCAGGTTCGGGCGCCGCGCCGGCTTCGTGTGCTCCCTGGTGCTCGCGGCCCCGCTGGGCGTCGGCGTGGCGCTGGCGCCGGACTACGTCATGCTGCTGGTGCTGCGGATGCTGCTGGGGGCCGCGCTGGCCGGAGCCTTCCTCGCCCTCTACGTCGCACGTGAGTGTCCCCTGCTCCCACCCCGCTCGGCAGCTTGCAGCTTCCCCGGCTCCGGGCACCTCTGCTCTGATGCCAACGCGGTCTCCCTGCTTCTGCAGGCACGAAAGCGCTAAGCTGGCAGGGGATGCAGTCGGGGCAGAGCTCAGCCCTGTCTGGGGGTCACCTTGGCTCGGCCCTGCTGCAAGGGCCCTGCTCTGGGGCAGAGGGTGCCTCGTCCATAGGGCTGGGGCTTTGCAATGGGGGGGCATGTCGGGGAGCCTGGGTCTGCAGCAGGGCACCAGGGTGCCAGGCTGTCTCGGCCCGATGCTCAGGGGTCCCATGCAACCAGCCTGGGCATCCTCTGCCTGTGTCTTCCCCAGGGCTGGAGCTATGTGACCCCCCGCACCGCCTCATGGTGGTCATGGTGGCCAACTTCTTCTGGGTGGCGGGGGAGCTGCTGCTGCCCGGCCTGGCCGTGCTGTGCCAGGAGTGGCGGGTGCTGCAGGGCGCCGTGACCCTGCTGCTGGCACTGCTGGCCGTCTGCGCCAGGTAAGGACCGGCCCCCGCGGCCGGGATGGGGGGGGCTCTGGGCCTCTGGGAACAGTCAAGTGCCGCTCCAGCCTCTCCAAGGCCGGGGTGGATCAAAGCTCGCCCGCACCCTCCATCTGGAGTGCTGCGGGCGGGCGCCACGGGTAAATATTTGCCAAGGCTGGAGCTGTTGGGCTGGATGGGCCAGAGCTGGGGGGTGACGCAGGGAGGGGGAAGAGTCGGGGGGGGGGCCTGCCGTGTCCCTGGGCATGGGGCATGAGTGCGGTAGGGTCTGTGCCCGGCCGGGGGGGAGGAGGGGGCTGGGACTGCTTTTGGTTTCTCCCTAATGCCGCCGGTGGGGGCTGGAGCTGGGTGAGGGGCTGGAGCACTCTTTGGGACACCACTGATGGTGGTGCTGCCCCCCCGCCGCAGCTGCCCCTTGCTCTTCCCGGAGTCGCCCCGCTGGCTCCTGGCCACGCAGCAGCTGGAGAAGGGCAGGAAGGTCCTGCGGCGCCTGGCCGAGGGCAACGGCGTGACCCTGGAGGATGACTTCTACAGCCGGGAGCACCTATTCACAGGTGAGGGCCGGGGGGTGCTGGGGCTGGAGCCCGCCACCGCCCCAGTGCCCGCGCTGACCCTGCCCCCTTGCACCGGCAGAGCTGGACTCGCTGTCGGAGGGGCCCCCGCTGCCCCGGTACCACTCGGTCTGCGAGATCGTCGACACCCGCGTCATCTGGAAGAACAGCCTCATCCTAGGCTTCACTGCGTAAGGACCCCACCGCATGGGCGCTGGGGGCTGCTGGGGTCCCCCCACTTCTTCCTCGGCGTCTTCCTGCCCCTGGCGTGGGCTCCGGGCCCGGCCCGTGTGCCCCTTGTCCCGGCCGTGCCTGCCGGGGCTGCTGCAGCCCCGTGGCTCGGACCAGGCTGAGCCTGGAAGGTGGCAGGTGCAACAGGTACAGACGCACACGTGTGCACGTGCGTCTTCCCCCCAGGTTCATCGGCAACGGCATCCGACACTGCTTCACCCGCAACCTGGCACCTTACCCACCCCGCTTCTACTTCTCCTATTTCCTGCTGGCGGCCAGGGAGGCCGTGGCCTGCCTCTGCCTCTGCCTCACTGTGGACCGCTTCGGCCGGCGCGCCATGCTGCTGCTCTGCACCATCCTCACGGGCATCGTCTCGCTGCTGCTGCTGGCGCTCACCCAGTGTAAGGCGCGGGGCGGCTCACGAGCACCCCTCGGGCTCCACTTCTGCCCTGCGTGACGCAGGGGTGCTCCCAGGGCCACGGGGGAATTGGGAGTCCAACCCCTCTGGCTTCCTGCTGCCTGTACTGAGTGCCCCTGGGCGCTCCGGGGTGACGGGGGAACCCCCCCAGTCCAGGGGTGGCTGGGATATAGCATGGGAGACCTCCTCTCCCACCCTCGGCTCTGTAGCATCCCATGGATGGCGCTGGTCCTGCTTTCGATTTCCAGCCTGCTCCTCCAGGCTTGGGGAGACCCACTTGCTGCCCCTAACTGCTTCCCTTCCCCCCGCCCCCCAGACCTGCTGGCCTCGGTGGTGCTGACCCTGTCTGTCCTGGGCATCACCTCCTCGCACGCTGTCGCTATGCTCAGCATCCTCTTCGCTGGCGAGGTGCTCCCCACCGTGCTCAGGTAGGAGAGGGCCCTGCTTTGCCCCTTCAGGGGTGGGCACGTGGCAGTGCTGAGCCATAGGACCTACTTCCCCTCCGTGGCTGGGTGCTGAAGCCTGCTCTCCCTTGCAGGGGCTCGGGCCTGGGCCTCATCCTGGCAGCCAGCTTCATGGGCCAGGCAACGGCGCCCATCATGGCCATCAGCAACAGCCGCGGCTTCTTCCTGCACCATGTAGTCTTTGCCTCCTTTGCCATCCTCTCCGTGCTCAGCATCATGCTGCTGCCTGAGCCCAAGGGCAAGGCCCTGCCCGAGTCCCTGGAGGACGGGGAGCGCCGGCGCCGGCCCGCGCTCCTCCGGGCCTCGCACCGCAAGGACCGGCTGGCCCCGCTCCAGGATGATGCCCAGAGCTATGCCCGCCTTGTCACGGCCACCAAGAAGCTGCTGGGCTCCAGGCACCGGGGCCCCCACCTGCTGCCGGCCACCCCCCGTGCCTACGGGTCCCGTCTGGGGACATAGCTGGGTCCAGTGTTTGGTATGGACGTGAAGGGGGGGAGCTGCGACCGGCCGCGGGCAGGGAGGGGTGGAGCCCGGGGGTGGCTGGGGGCTGCATGGGGCATCTGGGCACTGGGGTGGTCCTGTGAGTGTATGCCACGGGCTGCAAGGCGCCCGCGCTGTGCTCAGGACAGACCCTCTGCGTCCCTGCCCCATGCTGTGCCTGGGGGGGGGTCCCGCAGCACACGGTGCCCGTCCCCCTACCCTGCAGGCCGGGGGCAGACCTCACCCTGGCAGGGCTCAGCTGGGGGTGGGGGGTGACGCTCCCTGTGTGCCCGGCGCTGCCAATAAAGTGCCTTGTTTCTAGCCCGGCCTTGGCTCTGCTTTATTTCTCCCAGCCGCCGGGGCCCTTCCCCTGGCCTGGGTGCACGGACGCGGTCCTCACCCCCTGGGCCTGCCCCCACAGGGCTAGGGCTGCCTGCGGTGGTCTTGGCTCCTTTCTCCAGGCTCCAAGTCCCCTTCCCTGCCTTAGTGGTGCCCCTTGCTGGCTGGTGCCTGCCTGGGCCCTTGTCCTCTCCTGCTGCCCCCAGCCTGGTGCTGCTTGCTTGGCTGCTGTCTGGGCCCCTGCCTCGGCTTCTGTGCTCTCAGGCTCTGGCCCACGCTCCCAAGGCTGGCTCCATCGCTGCTGCAAAAGTCCAGCCTCGACGTCCCTCCGCCATGGGTAAAGGATCCCCTTCCCTCCCGCCTTGCTCTGCCTCTGCAAGGAAGCGCCCTGCCCTGTATCGCTCCATGGGCTACGGGCTGCAGCCAGGAGCAGGGACCCGGCCTGAGCCTCCGCTGCGCTGCACCGGTGCTTTCTCCCAGCCGGGCTGGGGGGGCTAGGCCAGGGCAGGGGGCCGCTGTCCCGTGCGACAGGGGTTTGGGGGTCTTCTCCCCTGTGCAAAAACTTACAGGTTTAGGGTTAAAAGCTGGGAAAACCCTAGTGCACGTGTGTCGCTGAAAGCAAAGTCCCCCTGTGCCGCAGGCGCCCGTGCTGGACACTGGAGCGGTGCAGCCTGGCGCAGCGCCCCGGCCGCCCCTACTGCCCGTACAGGTCCGCCAGGCGCCGGAAGCGCGGCCCCCACTCGTTGAGGTAGTCGTAGTCCTGGTCGCCGTCCTCCAGGCTGGAGACGATGGAGCTGAGCGTCCCGGCCACGGAGCCCGAGCCCTCGTAGTCGTAGATGAGAGCCGTGTCGTAGGGAGGCACGCTGGGGTCGCTGTCGGCCGCGTCCAGCCCCTGGGGGTGCAGGAAGGGGTCAGGCATAGCAGGGCTCTCCAGCGGGGTGCACGTGCACCCTGGGGTATGTTGGAGGAGCAGGGCTGGGTGCTGCCGGAGCTGTGGGGCGGGCAGCCGGGGCATCTTCCTCTCGAAAGTAAACCTGGAGCAGGCTGCCGCTGCCCCAGGAGCTCCCTGGGCTGGACAGGACCCCAGGCCTTGGCTGGGGGCCACGGGGGGAGGTCCCCACGGCCTACCTGCCCCCTCTCACCTCGTTGATGAAGTCCTCAATGTCAGAGGGGCCGGCGGGCAGGCGCCGGGGGTACGGCGGGGAGCCGTAGCTGTACGGTGCGTCCCTGCGGAGCGGCTGCTTGCCCCGCGGCGACGGCGGCGGGAACAGCTCGGGGTGGCGCAGCTGGTTGAGGTCATAGGCGTCCTGCGGGGAGGGCAGGGTTAAGGATGTCCTGGGGGCTCCTCCTGCCCGTGCAGGGTCAGATCCCCCTCCCCGGTCTCACCTGGTCCTCCTCGCCGCCGCCCTGCTCGTCGTAGTTGAGGATGTTGTCCCGCAGGTCGTCCTGCGACCCCGCCAGCAGCAGCTTGCGCAGCGCGCGCCGCCGGCACCGCTCCCCGACGGCTGCCAGCAGGACCAGCACTGCCGGGACAGATGCACACGGCGCGTGGGGCTGGGGCGGTGGGAGCGGGGGCGGAGCGGGGCAAGGTCCGGGCCGCGGTCTCACTTACGCAGCAGCAGGATGATGGTGCCCAGGACGATCATGAGGGCCTCGAAGCTGAGGCCGGCACCCACCGCGGAGGCAGCCGTCGTCCCGTCCCAGCAGGCACCGCCGTCCCCGCAGAGGCACACGGACACGTTGAGCGCCTGCTTCCGCTCCTGCGGTGGTATCCCCGAGTCGCGGACCAGCACGGGCAGCACGTAGAGCCCCTCGGCCACCTCCGCCAGCAGCCTCAGCGCCGCGTGGGTCTCTGCGGGCAGGGAGATGGGACAGGGAGAGGTGTGGGACATGGTGCCCATGCATGCCCCGCGGACCGGGCTCTGCCCCCACCTCCTGCCCCAGCCCCTCACTGTTGACGCGGCTGAGGGTCCAGTTGCGGGCGAGCTGGGGGTCTCCGTGGCCCAGGCTGAAGTTGAAGGGCTCGGCGTGGGGCGACAGGTCCTCGTCGGTAGCGCTGAGCAGCAGGGGCCGGCCCCGGCCCGGCTGGCTGCACACGCCGCCCGCCAGCGGGGTCAGGACGGGCGCGTGGTCGTTGACCTCCCAGATCTCGATGGAGAGGGTCCCCGTGGCCGTGAGCGGGGGCTCGCCTGGGCGCAAGGGAGCGCATAAAACAGGGGTCAGGGCCTGGCACTGCCCCAATGCCCTCCCGGGGCTGGGGAGAGGGGGTATTACCATCGTCGCTGGCCAGGACGAGGGCCGTGTAGAGGCCTCCCTGCAGGAAGGCCGAGAGCCGTGGCAGTTCCCGCGTGGTCAGCACCCGCCCGGAGCCCGGCTCCACCCGCAGCCAGGCTGCTGGGTCGTAGGCCAGGGAGTAGCTGGGGGCAGACGGAGACTGGTCACCGGGACCCCCGGACCCCCCTGGCATCCCCGGTGCACGGCGAGGGCTGGCTCCTGCCCCTGCCCTGGGGTGGGTCTCACCTGAGGGCCTGGGGCTGGCGGATGTCGGGGTCGCTGGCGCGGTAAACGGTGACCTCGGTGCCAGGCGGCGCCCCCTCGGCCACGCTCACCAAGCGCGGGTTCTCCGGGAAGACGGGCGCCTCGTTGACATCTCGCACGTGCACGTGCACCGTGGCCAGGGCCCGGGCGCTCTGCGGGGCCGTGGGGTCCAGCACCTGCTGGTTCTGCACCGAGACCGTGAGCTCGAAGCGGTCCCGGACTTCGTGGTCCAGTGCCTGGGGGGAGAAGGGGGGAGAGGGTCAGTGTGGGGGCACGTGCTGTCATCCAGCAGGGTCCCAGCCCATCCAAGGAAGGTCAAGTGCCCTTTACTCTGTGCCACCCCTCCTGTGGCATAGCTGCCCCTGGCAGGGGTGCGCGCACTGGCGGGGGGGATCTCTGCAGCAGCCCTCACCTTGGCGGTGGAGAGGACGCCGTCATTGGTGCGGGGGTCGGTGCGGATGGCGAAGACGCCCTCGGGGTCGCCCTCCAGGATGGTGAAGCGCGCCAGCCAGTTGGGGGAGCCGGGCAGGTCCTTGTCGTGCACCAGCACGCGGCCCACCTCGGCCCCCCGCGCGCCCTCCGCCACCTCCAGGGAGAACTGCGGGAGAGGACGGGGTTGCTCCGCTCTGCCCCGCTCGCTCCCGCCGGCCCCCAATGGGGCGAAAGGGACCCAGGCGTCCTGCCCCGGCCCCCAGGCGCCAGCCCCTACCTCGTCCTCCGTGAACTCGGGCGGGTTGTCGTTGATGTCGTCCACGTGGATGACCGCGGCGGCCGTGGTGGTGAGGCCGTCCCCGGACATGTCGGCTACTTGGAGCGTCAGGTTGTACACGGCCACTGCCTGGATGGGCACGGGTCACCACCTGGCACTGCCAGCGTGGCCCTGTGCCCCCAGTGACTGCCTCTCTGCACGGCCCGGGCACCGCGTCTGAGCCATGCTGGGCTGCCTGCCTGCCCTCCATCACCCCCCTGCATTAGCCCTGTGCCCCCTACACCTCGACCTACTGAAAGCCCACACCCAGATGCTGCCAACGCCACCCCGGGGCTGCCCCAAGCACCTCAGCTCTGCTTGCAAAGTGCCCTGGGCACCGCCCAGCCCATAGTGCCAGCAGCCGGGTCCCCAGGGCCGGTTACCTCTCGGTCCAGCCCGGCCTGGGCGGTGCGGATCTCGCCCGTGGTCTCGTTGATGTGGAAGGCACCGGTGGCTGGCTCCAGGATGGAGAACTGCAGCACCGCGTTGTCCGTGTTGGGGTCGTCGGCATCCGTGGCCTCTGCCGTCATCACCAGGGTACCTGTGAACACACACATGCGCGCGCACACACACACACATGGTCACAGAATCACACACAAGGAAGGTTGAAAGGAGCGCAGAAGTCACATCTAGTGCAACCCCTGCTCCAAGCAGGACCAGCCCCAGCTCCATCATCACAGCCAGGGCTTTGTTGAACTGGGGCTTAAAAGCTGCCAAGGATGGAAAGCCTACCACCTCTCTGGGTAACCTGTCCCAGTGCTTCACCACCCTCCTAGTGAGAGAGTTTTCCCTAATATCCAACCTCAACTTCCCTTGCTGCAGCTGGAGCCCATTGCTCCTTGTCCTGCCATCTGCCCCCACTGAGAACAGCCCAGCTCCGTCCTCTTTGCAGCCCCCCGGCAGGGAGGTGAAGGCTGCTATTCAATCCCCCTCCGTCTTCTCTTCTCCAGACTCAATCAGCCCATTTCCCTCGGCCTCTCCTCACCAGTCCTGCCCCCCAGGCACCCAACCATTTTCATTGCCCTCCACTGGACTCTCTCCCACATGTCCACATCCTTTCTGCCGTGGGGGGCCCACAGCTGGACGCAGGACTCCAGATGTGGCCTCCCCAGCGCTGAATGGAGGGGAAGCAGCCATCACTGCCCTCGATCTGCTGGCAACGCTCCTGCCAATGCAGCCCGGGATGCCGGTAGCCTTTGTGGCGACAAGGGCACGCCGTTGGCACATACAACAAAGCGCGCCGTTGGCTCAGTGCCAGCCCCGCCATGCACCCACCTGGCTCAGCGCCCTCCATCACGTGCCCCGTGAACACCTCCTGCCGGAAGAGGGGCCGGTTGTCGTTCTGGTCCACCACGATGATCTCCAGGTCAGTGGGGTCCTCCAGCGTCTTGCCCCCCAGGTCCAGCGCGTAGGCCTTCAGCTGGGCACAGGACGGGGTGTCAGACACCGCACCGGCAGCTCGCAGTGCCCACCCCCAGGCAGCTGCAAACCCCCCCGGCTAGGGGAAGGGCAGCCAGCCAGAGGGGTAGGCGCACCAGTGCTGTGGCACCCCAGCAGGAGGCTGTGTTGCAGGGGCAGGGGGGTCCGGGGAGCCGGGCTTACGCGGAAGCGCTCGTTCTGCTCCCGGTCCAGCACGGTGTTGAGGAAGACCTTCCCGCTGAGCTTGTCGATGGAGAAGATGCCCAGCGGCTCCTCGTCCACCCCCGGCCCCTTGATGCTGTAGATGACGCCCCCGGGCTGCTGCTTGTCCGACTTGATCTGGCGGGGTGGGGGACAAACCCAGGAAGCAATGGGGCCGGCACTGCTGCAGGATGCTCACAGCTCCCACCCCAACCCCACCCTTCCCTAGGAGATGCCCAAGGTGGCATGTGCTGCTTCACCCACCACTGAGTCTCCCTGCTACTGCCCACCCGTGCGTGCCCCCACCTCTGCAGTGCACCGTGAGGGCTGGGCATAAGGGGAGGGGTCCTGTGCACAATGCTGGGGGGGGCTGTGGCCTTGCACGCAACGGTAGATTAGTGTGTGCACAGGTGCACATGTACGTGTGTGTGTGTGTGTGTGTGTGTGTGTGTGCAAGTTGGCAGGTGCATGCATGTACCATGGAGGAGGCTACACATGCATTCATGATGGGCATGTGCGTGTGTTACACAGGGTGTTTGTAAAAGTCCTCGTGCAACTTTAAACTTTAATCCCTTTGGATGCACACACGATGGAAGCAAACTGCAAACGGCGATTGAAAGCATCATTCATTACGTTTTTTAGCAGAGTGTAAGCTATGCGCAGGGTAAGGATCACGAGCGCAATTCATGAAATCTCACAGCAGCAACTGGAAAATGTTTTCTATGAGCTGGAAAATCAGATTGAACGACGTCTCATGAGATGCGTTTATTGAAGTCGAGCAATTTGAGCTGTATTGAGTTAAAACTTGAGTTCTGCTTTCAATCCCCGTTTGCCGTTTGCTTCCATCATGTGCACATCCAAAGTTATTACAGTTTAAAGCTGCACAAGGACTTTATAAACACCCTACACACACAAACACACACACACACACACACAGAGGTACATATACACACACACACATAATATCTGCAAGCTTGCATATGTGCATAAAGATATACATGTAAAATGGCAGATATTGTGTACATGTACCATGCAGGAAGCTGCAAATGTGTGTTCATGGTGGGTAAGTGGTGTGTGTGTGTGTGTGTGTGTGTGTGTGTACACCTGAAAGTTGGCAGATATTGTATGTGTGTATGTGCGTGTTCACATGTGCATATGCCATGGAGAAGGCTGCATGTGTGTGTTCAAGGTGGGGGTGTGTGCATGCGCGTGCACGTGTGATAGAGGAGGCTGCCCATGAATGTTCATGACGGGGTGTATGCAAGTGTACGTGCACACACCGCACACCATGGAGGAGGCTGAATGTGTGTGTGTGTGTGTATACATACATGCAAGTTGGCACCTGTGTGTGTGTGCGTGTGCATGTGTGTGCCATGGAGGAGGCTGCAGGTGTGTGTTCACAATGCACGTGTGCAAGTCAGTGAGCGCACATGGCCTTTTGTGAGACAATGGAGGGTGGGGGGGAGGGGTGCGAGCACAGCCCCCCAGGTCAGCCCCCCGGCCCAGCGGCTCCTACCTGCACCAGGAGGTGGGGGATGCGCTTGTGGTTCTCGGAGACGCTGATGGGGGGGATCACCCAGGCCCCCTTCACTCGCCGGGGCCCCTCCGGCCGCCACGGGCGCAGGACCGGGGCCGCGGGTGCTGCACCGGATGGGTCGGGGCCCTGCAGGGAGGAGAAGGAGCTGGTGTTGGCACTTGGGGGTGCAGCTCCTGCTGAGGTGGGGGTGGGCATTGGGGGGCTGGCTACAGAACACGGGGGTGGCAGCACCCGGCACCCCTCCTCACCCACCACCGGCCCCGGCTGGCCCCTGGGCAGGTGGCGCAGGGCAGAGGAGCGTGGGGGGCACAGAGAGCGGGCAGGGGCCACGGGCATGGGGCCAGCGCTCCCCAGCTGTGGGGCTGCAGTGACACCTCGCGGCTGCCGGGAGCTACGACAAGACGACCCAGCTTCTCTGAGCTGCCCCTTCCCCACCGCCCCGGGTGCAGCATGGCCTAGTGGTTGGAGCGGGGCGGGGGGTGGGGGTGTCAGTGCTGCCCCTGAGACCCACACCCTGCGCACACAGATGCTCCCAGGCAGACCCACACCCCCGTGTGCACGCGTGGACATGCATGCACACACTGCAAACACCCCCCATATATATAGCAAGACACCACCCCTACAACCATCCTTCACCACCCCCTTTCCCAGCGTGCCCCTTCCCCAGCTGTTGCTGCACCCACCCAACCACAA